GCCAGGGGAGGAGACATAGAACATGGTATAACCTCAATATTAAGCATCACACATTTGTGCTTCCTCTAGTCTCTTCCCTCTAACAAGTCATCAAATCTACCTAATGTCAACAATAATTTAAACATAAATTTAGAAGAACCCTACTCAGAGTTCCAATTTTTTTACCTGACCACTTTTTTACTTTCTGTCACCTCTTAATGTTCTCAAATCCCTTGGTCCCTCACTATACTCACTCCTTTTTATACTCAGCTCCCTTGCATATTTTTTTTCATCTTGCACATGCACGCATACACACACACACAAACACACACACACACACACCTTGGTTAAATCCAACTCTTCATCTATTCTATGCCTGGCTAAATATGAAGTGCTGAATGTAGCTGATAAAACTCTACTGACAGGTTTCATGTTATAATTATGACGATGAGTCTCAAATGAGCATCCAGTGCTGCCCAACAACCCACTACATTTATATCATCAACTCATATACCTAACTCCCACTCTCTGAAAAGATGATTTCATGCATTTTTTTCTCAACAATTCCTCTTCCTTTTAGCCAAGAACTTTGTTTCTTGTTTCATGGAGGAAATGAAATCAATTGGGCCAGAACTGCTACATCCCTCCCCACAGCCACCCCCCCCCCCACCACCATCCCATTGCATTTGTCTCTGAGTAATCTATGTTGCCCACAAAGGATGGAGTGAGTGTTCATGCTCCTATGTGAGACGTACCCGTCCATCCACGATGGAATATCAACTTCTCTCATCTACTCAATTGCTTTTGCAAACATCTCCTATCTTTCTTTGCATCATCACTTTCTCCCTCTCTACTGAATCATTTCAATCAACATACCAACATTCCAGAATGTTAAAAACAAAAATACAACCTTTCTTGATCCCATATCACTCTCCAGCTAGCGTCCATTTTTCTGTTTGCCTTTTTTTTTTCCAAGTTTTCTTTTTTTTTTAAATCTTTATTGTTCAGATTATTACATTTGTTCCTCTTTTTTCCCCCCATAACTCCCCTCCTTCCAGCTCCCACCCCACCCTCCACCCTCACTCCCCACCCACTGAGTTCATCCATAGGTGCATGATTTTTGTCCAGTCACTTCCCGCATCTCCCACACCCCTTTTCCCCCAAGAATAGTCAGTCCATTCCCTTTCTATGTCCCTGATTCATTATAGTCACCAGTTCATTCTGTACATCAGGTTATTTATTCACTTGATTCTTAGATTCATTTGTTGATAGATGCATATTTGTTGTTCATAATTTGTATCTTTACCTTTTTCTTCTTCTTCCTCTTCTTAAAGGATACCTTTCAGCATTTCATATAATACTGGTTTGGCGGTGATGAACTCCTTTAGTTTTTCCTTATCTGTGAAGCTCTTTATCTGACCTTCAATTCTGAATGATAGCTTTGCTGGATAAAGTAATCTTGGTTGTAGGTTCTTGGTATTCAGCACTTTGAATATTTCTTGCCATTCCCTTCTGGCCTGCAACGTTTCTGTTGAGAAATCAGCTGACAGTCGTATGGGTATTCCCTTGTAGGTAATTGAGCCTCTTTCTCTTGCTGCTTTTAAGATTTTCTCTTTGTCTTTTGCTCTTGGCATTTTAATGATGATGTGTCTTGGTGTGGTCCTCTTTGGATTCCTTTTGTTTGGGGTTCTCTGCGCTTCTTGGACCTGTAAGTCCATTTCTTTCTCCAGGTGGGGGAAGTTTTCTGCCATTATTTCTTGAAATAGGTTTTCAATATCTTGCTGTCTCTCATCTTCTGGCACTCCAATGACTCTGATATTAGTCCGCTTAAAGCTGTCCCAGAGGCTCCTTACACTATCTTCACACTTTCGGATTCTTTTTTCATTTTGCTTTTCCAATTGGGTGTTTTTTGTCGAATCTTTGGTTTGATTCTTGTGCTCCTCTGGTCTGCTATTGGGTATAATATTCTTTATTTCAGTCCGTGTATGCTTACTTTCTAATTTCTTTATCGTAGCATCGAGGGTCTCATTAGTTTTCGTGAGGCTCTGCACAAATTTATGGCAAGCCCTCAAAATTGCGATTCTTAGCTCCATATCCTCCATTTCTGTCATGTTTTTTTGTCTCCGCATCTTTTATGCTTTCTTGGTGCACCCCCTTGTGGTCTCTGTGCGCAGTCTTGTTCTAGCCAAGCCTTAATTGTTGTAGTTAACACTAGAGGGATTTGACCACCAGGCCGACTGGCTGTGGAAATCAGCTGTGGGAAAACTTCAGTCCTCTGGGGAGGCGCTAGTCCAGCCCTTGCCTGAGGCGATCGGCAAATGGCTGTGCGCAGGGTTTGGGCGGGGCGGGCTCAACAGGGCGGGGGGAGGGAGCAGCTATGGCCGCTCTCAGTCCGTCCCCAGGGGCTCTGCCTCTCTGTCCCAGCAATCGCTGCAAACCTCGGAGGGGCCGTAGCCAGACAGTCCCGCTTCTCCCGTTTGAGTCTGGGTCCCTAGAGACTCGCCCGGATCTGTAGCCCAGAGTCTGAGACTCGCTCCTGATTGAAAACGACAATCGCGCCCTCAGCCGCCAGCCCGCTTTGCGCGCGCACCCTCACCACCGCACCGCCGTACCTTTAAATTTTCCACACTGCGCCTCCGCTGAGCGTCGGAATGCTGTTGTTTTTGCTTCTAGTTGAAGAGACTCTCCTCAGCCAGCCTTCCCGTGGTTCTGGTTGATGTCCGCTCCGACTTTTAGTTGTATTTTTCCTGTTTGCCTTTATAGCAATTCTCAATCTCACTGCTCAACAGCATTTAGCACAATTGCCTGCTGCTTCTGTGACACGCTTTCTTCATATGGCTTTATGATCTGACTGGTTCTTTCTGCTTTGTCTCACCCTCCTTTATCAGATCCGCTGCCTCTTTCCCATTTCTGAATATTGATGTGCTTCAGAGCTCAGCCCCAGAGCCACTTTACCAGTTACATTCACTCCTGGAGTGATCTCATCTCATTCTGTCCCCTAGGTTTAAATACCAACTATGCATGTGTATATATTTGTATGCCACATTTATATATCCAATCATGACCTTTCTCTTGAAATCCTGGTGTTGATATCCAACTGCCTGTTAGATATCTCTACTTGGATGTCTAATAGAAATGTCAAGTTCGATATGTTGAAAACCAAACTCTTGATTCACTCCTTTCAGATCTGCACCTCCCCCAGGGTGATCCTTTCTTAGCAAATGGAATCGCTGTTCATCCAGTTGCTCAGGCCAAAAATCTTGCTGTTAATATGGATTCCTTTCTTCCAATTCATGAGTAGTCCTGTAGGCTCTATCTTCAAAATACATTCTAAATCTGCCAACTTCTCACTGCTTATGTATAGCCAGCTATGTCCGAGCAAGCTACCATTATTTCTCACCTCGACCACTGCAACAGTCACTAATAAGTAATGCTCATGATCTTGTGCCTACAATCACTTGTGCCATTTCCCACTTCACCCCCTCTTTGACTCCGCCTCATATGGTGTTCCACCAAGAACACTCCCACTTTAGGGCAATTGCATTTGCTCTTCCCTCCATCTAGAATGCTCTCTCTCAAGATGCCCATGTGGCTTACTCCATCACCTCATTCAAATGTCTGCTTAAATAACATTCCTCTAGACCAGTGGTTCTCAACCTTCTGGCCCTTTAAATATAGTTCCTCATGTTGTGACCCAACCATAAAATTATTTTTGTTGCTACTTCATAACTGTAATGTTGCTACTGTTATGAATCGTAATGTAAATATCTGATATGCAGGATGGTCTTAGACGACCCCTGTGAAAGGGTCGTTCGATCGCCAAAGGGGTCGCGACCCACAGGTTGAGAACCGCTGCTCTAGACAGATATTCCCTAAAGCACCAGGTCTCCATTACCCTCTTTTCCCTGGTTTCATTTCTTCATATCAATAATCCCACTTGACATGGCATATTTATTTAATTATGTCTCCACTACTAGAATTTATGCTTCATGAGATCATGGACTTAATATGTTTTGTTCACTCTTGGATTCTCAGTATCCAGAAGAGTGACTGACACATAGTAGGTGTTCAAAATATTTATTGAATAATAAATAAAAAAACAGGACTTCCTTATGAATTTTGGGTAGGATAAAAGCAGGATATAAGATGAAACTGACCCTTATTTGTCACCCTAATTTTATATTTTGAATTCTAAAAATCCAGTATTCTCAAGTATTCTCACTAATCTTCTCTTCTCTAAAACAATATGAACTTTCCTCTAACTCTGCTAGATTTAAGTAGAGATAGTGGGATGGAGGTTATAGTTACTAAAGTTACAATAATATTGATCTTTTCCAAACATGTATGGTCATATTGCTCCTCTGCTTCAAACTCTCTGGTTGTCTTCCATTGTACTTTGAAGTTCTCTATCATGGCCACGTAATCCGGCTCCAACCTACTTCTGAACCTCATCTTGTACCAGCACCTTTCTTGTTCACCTCACTGTAGTCACAGTAGTCTTCTCTGTGTTCCACCAAAGCACCAAGCTGGTTCCTGCCTCAGGGCCTCAGCACTTACTGTTCCCTCTGCCTGAACACTCTTCCCTCAGATCTACATACAGTTGGTTTCTTTTCATTCAGATCTCAATATATAGACCAAAGGTGTCCTCCCCTGACCAATCTGGTGAATATTATCTGCTCCCTTCTCTCACCCCAGAAAATCTGTAACTTATGACTCTTTTAATTTCATCATTATCGGAAATTACTTTGCTGATATTTAATTATTTATAATCTCTATCCCCTACTACAATGTGACCTTGGGGGAGCAGGGACCTTGTCTCCCTTTCTCTATAGTCCCTCGGCTGGAGTCAGCCTCAGAGCAGATCTACGTGACTGTTTGCTGCAGAATGAAGACCTGGACCATGTTTAGGCTTGACTATGCTTCTATGAGAAAACTTCCTTCCCTCTCAATCGGTCAGGCCTGGCCGACTTGGAGTTGGTTAAGACTCTAGCCTCCCCAGTGCCTCTCAGACCGTTAGTTACCTTGATGGCCCCTGTGGCTATCTGGATATGGTGCAGCCGCCGCAGGGTGCTCTCTCTGTCGATGAAGTAAGAGGCTGCCAGCTGATGCAGGGTCTCCAGGGACACGGCTGAGCTGTTCCCACTGCCCCCAACTGTAGGGGCACTTCCTGCTGCTTCTGTCTTTCGGCTCAGTTTCCGCTTGTCCACAAAAATGGTCAGGGACTCTTCTCCTATAGCAAACAACATGGGTTCATTGATGAGGCCTTCTGCTCCCTCCTCCCCTACCATTAAGAATGAAATGTTCATTAAGAATGAAATGTTTGGCCAGAATAGACGGAGCTAAGAAGGAGCCCATTACTTCTGTGGACAGCCTCTTCCCCGTCCCTTATCATATTTAGAAAAATCTCAACAGACTGAGTCATAGGATAGCAGACATCACACCTGAGAGGCCCTCCTTCCTTTCCTTAGTTCCGTATGTCTCCCCAAAGCTCCCCCTTGTCATCCAGCTTATCCATTTAACATCCTCTTCTGATCTCTATCTCAGGCATCTACCTCCTTGGAGGATAGAAAAGTTGCCATGGATATGTATGCTCCCTCCAAAAGGACAGAAGCCTAGAAGTTTAAAGGGCGCTTTCCACTCAAACACTCAACACCTACCACATTCAGCAGCTGGCCTGACCCCTCAGAGAGCTCTTTTTTTGTCCGTCAGACAGTGAGCTAAATGTTATAATAAATCCTGTTTTCTTCTGCCAGGACAGAGAGAACTCTGCCTCTAGCCTCCATCCAGCTCAGAATTATTAGAATTGGTGTGTCTGGTTACTCGTCTATATAAAGAGGAAGCATGGGGCAGGGATTCAATAGACATTTCCCTCTTTGCCCATGGGCCTGGCAACTGTAGCCACAGCAAATGTAGGGATGTGGAGAAGCTTCAGGGTTGATTGGCTCAGTCAAAAGGAAACTGAGAGCACCCCCTGCTGGCAAGGGCTTGGTGGGAGTCTGTGTGTCCCCCAACCTCTTTATCCCCTCCTCCTCCTCAGGAAAATGCTGAGAAGGAAACAGCAATGTTCTGGAGTGAATTTGGATATTAAGAAGCTATACTGTTCTCAAAGGCACCAGAAAGGAGACAATTCTCAGGCAATAATAGGCCAGGAAAAACAAAAGATGCAGGAAGACTACTAGTATTGAAGCTATACTCAGTGGGCTTTAAAGCTATTTTCAACAACCTGGCAACAATTCACGCAGGATCATGGTGTTGCTTACCTCCAAGGGTGGCAGAAAGTAGGAAATGGGTGCCGTACTTTTTGATCAGGTTTTCGGTAACCTGTTGCAGGTTGGGTCTCCTTCCCAGGAGGCGGATGTTCCGGATAAACTCTGGGGCAAGAGGCAATGGCAAACTGAAGAAGTCTCTCCTTTCCAGAGCCAAGTTGTTCACTTTCCAACGGGCAAACTCCCTGGAGGAAAGGTCAAGGGATAAGGAAAAGCTCGTTGTATTCTGGAAAAGAGGCACGCAGTCCGCAGTCAGTCATGTTCTTCCTCCCCTGGAACCTGCTCATCTGCTCTCAGCCCACATCTCCAGATGGATGCACCCACTGCCTGAAAGAGGCCCTTTGGCCTCCCCTGGCCTCTCATTCCCCGGGCTGTGAGAAAGGCTTTCTCAGCTGACCTCCGTCATAACTTAATTTCCAAACCTTTCTCATTGGAGAGTAGCTGACCACCTCATTCATATGAAAGTCGTCATGGTAGTAGTGTAGTAGGGGAAACAAGCAATGCAAACAGTGGTTTTCAGAGATAGGATCTAGTCACAGTTGGCCCCATGTGGGTGGATAACATCACCTGTTATGGTCTCAGTTACCTCTGTGTAAAGTCAGATGTTGGTGTAGAACAACAGTTCTCAAACGTTTTGGTCTCAGGACCCCTTCACACTCTTCAAATTGATTGAATCCTCCATATTTATGTGGCTTACATCTATTGATAATTGCCATTTTCGAAATAAAAACTGAGAAAAGTAATTATTTATTTTATATTACATATCACATAAATAACACATTTTTATGACAATAACTGTATGTTCTGAAACAAAACTAATTCAGCAAGAAAAGAGGCATCACTGCATTTTGCAGATCTCTTCACTATCTAGTGGAGCAGGTGAGGACTGCATAGTCAGATTTGCTTCTGCACTCATCTGTTATGATAGTTGTGGATCTTCTTCTATGAGGCCATACTAAACTCAACAAACATGGTTTCTTAACGGTTAGTTCCAGTGTGCAATCTGAACCAATATCTATGAACTCCTCCTCTGTTACATTAAAATCCAGTGTTACACATTGTTCTTTGAGTAGATCTTTCTATCCTTCTTATTTTGTAACATCATGCATTAGTCATCCGGAAAATATGGGAACACTGAGTTATTCAGATCTTCCACATTTTGACACTTTTCATTATATAATATCAAAACATTATATTCATTAATATTACCACCAATCTCATCAGAAAAGTCTTCAAATATTGGAAAGCTGTCAAGCTCATGGTGACAAATAGGAGTTCTCCAAAACTCTATTTTTTTGTTTGAAAGCTTAAATTTTATCATTGGTAATAAATACTGTCAGTTGTTTTTCTTAAAGAAGCAGGCTTCCTGCATTTTTTTTTTTTAAAGAAAATGTCTGCCAAACACTGAAGTCTGAATAACCATATTTTGTCTGTTGGTTGTCAAGAAAAAATTAGTTCCATGAAAAAAGTGGCAAGCTCAGCTCACAACTGAATCACAAAAGTACTTTTTCCTGAGACAACCATCAACCATCATTCTTTAGTATCCCCAGACATGCTTTATGTGCACCTCCTATTTTATCATATAGAAGATTAAAAAGACATACACTCATGGTCAAAATCCAATGAAATTAATAAGTTTTACTGCTTCAAGGACATTCTTACATAAAACTAGCGTACATGTGCATGTGTGTATGGATAGATGCAAGTATATAATGATTAAGAATACACAACTACTGGTGTCATTTGATAGAACTGCCTTTATTCAAACTAGATGCCAGATTGTTTTTGGATCTTTGGTGTAAATGTCAACATGGACATCCTGAAAGGAACTCAGGGGACCCACATTATGAAAAGCCCTATTCTAGAAGATGGCAAAGTTCCTTTCCAGTGCCATCTAGAATTTTAATCTTCATGCTTTGCCCCCCACTGAATTGTTTGTATTTGAAAGGGGACCAAGATTTCCAAGGGGGATCTTTGTCCTGGGCTGAAATGTAAAGGATCATATCCATTAGTAAGAAAGGCGTTTTCCGTACCTCTGAAATTACACGAGTAAGGACCAGCTCCACTGCCTTAGGAAACAACAAAATGTAGCATCTTCTCAATCTTATCATCCATCCCAACTCTTCTCCTCAGTCAGTGCTAAGCCTTGGTCTAACCTTCCCCCATACCCATGAAGTACAAATAATAGGGGTGCAAAAGAATAAAATAATTCAAAATAAACAAATAAAAAACCATGCCCCATTTGAGGCTATAGAATCCCCAAATCTAAATCTAGAGACAAAGACAGAGAGGAGGGGCACAGGCCAAACATTACCAGGGAAACAAAAGAAAAGGGATGACTAATAATTCACAGTTCCAACAAAGTCTTTTAAAATTCCTGCTGTGTGGCTCTACTTAAGCAGGCAAGTCCATAATAATATATTATTATTCATGTCTTTGTGCATAAAATGCTAAATTTTAATAAAAAGGTACAGGGTACTTGTCAAAAGTGTTTTTTATCCCAAATCCCACTACCATGTGAAGAACAGTTGCTTGATCTCATTTCTAAATGGCTGGATGGCCAATAAAAGGACATAGAGTAGCTTAATGTTTTAATGAAACAAAAACAAGACCCAATTACAAACTGCCTACAGGAAACTCACTTCAGCTTTAAGGACATATATACTGAAAGTGAAAGAATGGAAAAAGATAGTCCATGCAAATGAACACACACACACACACGCTGGGGAAACTATACTTACACCAGACAAAATAGATTTAAAACCAACGATTGTAACAAGAGACAAAGAAGGTCATTTTATAATGATAAATATATCAATTCATTGAGGAGATATAATTTTTATAAATATGTATGCACTCAACATAGGAGCAACTAAATAAATATAGCAAATATTAACAGATCTAAAGGGAGAATAGGCAGCAATATAACAATAGAAGGGGACAGCAATATCCCATCTTCAATAATGGACAGATCATTAAGACAGAAAATTAACAAAGAAACATTGGACTAGATGGACTTAACAGACACCTACAGAGCATTCCACCCAACAGCAGCAAAATATGCATTCTTCTCAAGTGCACATGGAACATTCGCCAGGATAGATCATATGTTAGGCCATAAAACAAATCTTAATAAATTTAAGAAGATTGAAATCTCATCATGCATCTTTTATGACCATATGCTATGAAATTAGAAATAAATTACAATAAGAAAACTGGAAAATTTACAAATACATGGAGATTAAACAATATGCTCCTGAACAAACAATGGATCAAAGGAGAAATTATGTATATATATATGGATCATGAGACAAATGAAAATGAAAACACAAATATAAAAAGTATGGGATGCAGCAAAAGCAGTCCTAAGAGGAAAGTTTCTAGCAATATACGCATATATTATGAAAAAATGAAGATCTTAAAAAAGCAACCTTATTTTAAAAAACTAGAAAAGAATAAACTAAGCCCAAAATTAGTAGTAGGAAGGAAATAACAAAGATCAGAGTAGAAATGAAAGACATGGAGACTAAAAAGTCAACAAAATAGATCAATAAAACTAAAAGCTAGGGTTTGTTTTGTTTTGTTTGGGGAAAAAAAATGAACAAGGCTGCTCAGCCCTGAGGAGACTAGCACAGGGAGTTAGTTCTGCTACCCCAGATTTTGCACAGCTGCCTCGGGCTGAGGGCATCAACCTATGGATACATCTGTAACCCATCTGCAGCACCTCCAGCGCCAGCATGCATAGGGTTGGGAAGGTCTATTATAATCACCTTATGTTCAGTGATGGCGAACCTTTTGAGCTCGGCGTGTCAGCATTTTGAAAAACCCTAACTTAACTCTGGTGCCATGTCACATATAGAAATTTTTTGATATTTGCAACCATAGTAAAACAAACACTTATATTTTTGATATTTATTTTATATATTTAAATGCCATTTAACAAAGAAAAATCAACCAAAAGAATGAGTTCGCATGTCACCTCTGACACACGTGTCATAGGTTCGCCATCACTGCCTTATGTTATGAGAAAACCATGAAACAGAGAGGGAAGTGGTTTGTCTAAAGCAGCGGTTCTCAACCTGTGGGCCGCGACCCCTTTGGCGGTCGAACGACCCTTTCACAGGGGTCGCCTAAGACCATCCTGCAAATCAGATATTTACATTACGATTCATAACAGTAGCAACATTACAGTTATGAAGTAGCAACAAAAATAATTTTATGGTTGGGTCACAACATGAGGAACTGTATTTAAAGGGCCAGAAGGTTGAGAACCACTGGAAAGCAATATAACCAGTTGGTACTAGAATCAGAACAAAAAGTTAGTGTCCGGACCCTTCCCCAGTGCTATTGACAACAACTGTGATGATTGTGACAATAGACAATGAGACCCAGAGAGTTAAGAAAGCAACTTGCACATCACCCAGTAAGTGGCAGAGCTAAGATTAAGTCCCAGGTCAATACCAGACTGCTGTTTCTATAACCCTATTTCCCCTTGTGTAATTAGGTTAAGTGTATTTTACTGCATTCTAATTCTTTTTAAATGTTTACTATCTTCTAACAAAAATATTTCATTGCCTGGAACATTTCATTCTTTTAATTATCTACACAAAACATGAGTTTACTGTGTTTCTACAACACAGTGCAACATATACACCGAAGCAAAACCTTTTTGGATTAAGGTGGTTTCAATACACACATTTGCAGGAGGAGAAATTAAACCCTAGAAAAAAAATCAAGTCCATACACAGGGTACCACGGGAGAAATCAGAGAAAAGGCCTAATTCCAACTCCTATAAATGCTCAGGAAATTATAACACGGACTAACAAGGACTTAGAAAAATGAATGATACTATCATAGGAAGCTTTTTATGAGCAAATAAAAAATAAGGGTTAACATTTAATGAATTCTTAGAATGTGCCAGGCATTCCAAGCATCTTGTAAGTACCAACCAATATAATATTTAAAACAACACTGTAAGGGAGAAAATATAATTACCTTCATTTTATGGATGAGGAAATTGAGGCACAAGTAAGTTAATTTCCCAGTAAGTACTAATACCTAGTAGGTGGAAGAGTGAGAATTTAAACACAGGCTGTCTAACTCCATGATCCAATCTTTACCACCCTGCCATACCACCTCTCCTGTGAAGCTCCAAGAGGCAATAGTTTTGTGAGTGGAAGAGTG